TAAAGAGAGAAGGCAGAAAGACTACTAAAAAAGCAATGATGTTCAATTTTTAAACAAATCTGTACATATTCTATTTTAAAGATGTGAAGAAGAAATGATAGGAAACTATATGTAAAAAAGGAGCAGGATAAAAAATAGAAACAATGTCTTACCAAGCAGAGAATGTGAAAAGCATCAACATTTAAAAGAAGAGAAATTCTGGAGTTGATGGGCTCAACTAAAGTGAAAACTACACTAGAGTTATTGAAGAAGAGTTCTGGGAAGACAGAAGACAGAGTCAGAGAAGTAAGGCATAACTAAACTGAGATTATTCAGTCTGCAAAAGAATACTCACAAACAAGATGGCAAAGGTTTGGGGGAAGGAAGGCCAATAAATTAGAGCTGGGATATTAATTACCAAGCAAGCATCACATTTCTACATTGTATAGACTTATGTAGTTTTAGTAGAACAATCATGAAATCCTTGAAGAGGAAACTAGCCATGCACTTGTATACAATAGATTTTAACTATTATTTGCCAACACCTTGTTTCCTGGAACAAAGTAGGGGGTGGGAAGAAAGATGCTGCTGCTGGTGATACCGTCTCCACTATGCCGAGCATTTTATGAACAGGTGATGTTTGTTTAGAATGGTAATACTTTTAGGGAGCAATGCATTCTGTGATTCCTTTCTTTTCTTCTAGGCCTAAGCTTCATAGAGAAGACAGAGTGCATGAAAACCCGGAAAAATCACATTCTATGATGTCATCATTGCAAAAAATAATTCTATAATATAACTTAGTTATTAATGTCATATACTATATTTTAAAAATTTCATCATAAGAGAACTTTTGAAATTTAAACAATATTATATAGGGAACACTAGGTTTGGAATATGAGGGATATAATACATATTTATACCACATACACACACAGACACATACACAAGTACAAACTTTCCTTGATAAATAATTCATTCACGTTAGGAACATAAGTTTTCTGTTGCTGGTAGAGTGGATTGCTCTATATCTGACGGCTTAAATATGTACAAATGTACTATGTTACAGTCTGTAGGTCAGAAGTCCTACAGGGCTTTCACTGGGGTAAGAATCTATGTGCCATTGGGCTACATTCCTTTCTGGAGGATAAAGGAGAGAATCTCTTTCCTTCCTTGACTTCTATAAATGCTTGCATTCTTTGGCTTGTATATGCCTAACTCCACTCTCAAAGTCAGCAATGTAAAATCTCTCTGACTCAGCGTCCACCAAAACAGCCCTTTTGATAATCACATCGGGGAAGAATTTTTTTGCTTCTCTGGGAAAAGTGCTGATCTTGGACCAACCTGGATTATTGAGGATAACTTTGCCATTTCAAAGTCATTAACCTTGATCACATCTGAAAGTTCCTTGTTTTCTATATGGAGTATATAGACTCAGAGGTTGGAGACTGGGACCTGAGTACCTTGATGGGCATTATTTTATCTGTCACAGTAGAGTGAATTTTAAAACCATTGAGTTGTAGTACCCCCTAAACATACAACCCATCCAAATTCCTGAGACCAATGCTTGCCTTTCATTGCTGCGTTATGGATGGGAGGTAAGGATCAGTGTTAGAGGGCTCACTTAACATGCAAAGACCCTACTATGGTGATATTTTATTTGTACTGAAATGTGATTTTATTTGTATGTTAATAAATACAGTTGCCTGGGGGTCAGAGCTATTAGCAAGCCTTTGCAGAAGCTGGGTGGTGGTGGTGCACACCTTTAATCCCAGTTCTTGGGAGGCAGAGCTAGGCGGATCTCTGTGTGTTCAAGGATACAGCCAGCATGAAGACAACACACCTTTAATCTCAACACCAACCATAGAAGACCTGGAGGTCTGTACAGACAGGCAGTGATGAGGCGGTCATGTGGTTGAGTTTACAACCAATGAGAAGGCAGAACAGAAACACTATAAAAAGACAGACACACAGGAAGTAGCTTTCTTTCAGAGAGGTAGTGCAACAGTGGCAGTGAAGGGTAAGGTTTTTTGCTCTTAGCTATTGCTCTGACCTCTTGGCTTTTATCTCTGTATTGGCTGTGTGTTTCTTTTTTT